GAAAAATTTGATTTTGCTTTTAGTTTCTTTCCAATTTCTTCTTTTAGCCTTTGAAAGAGATGTGTCATTTTTTATAAACCAAAGGATGCATGATTTTCACACTCTAAAATTTCATACTAACCCACTAAACTGCTGAAAGATGATATACGAGCTCTCTCCTTCATAGGGCTTGAAATCCACACAGGACTTGAGGCGGAACATTTCAAAGGCATAGAGAATGGCTCCTTTGGCGTTCAGCCCTGCAGAAATCAGTAAAAATATCAATGAGCGTTATTTAGCTCTAGGATAATATACATAACATAGTTTAGAGAAAATCATGCCACTGCATAAAATCCACAGAGGTCTATTATAGATGTTTTTGGTGGTAAATAGATTCCTTGAAAACTAAAAAATTAGTTGTGGATATAAACAATAAGTGTATACTTTAAAAACGTAATGTAAATATAACTAAAAAATAAAAATACACGTGTGTGTGTGTGTGTGTGGCTGAATAAAATCACAAAATAATTTTCCCACTTTCTCCCTTTCCTGTTTACCCATTCATGCAGAGATTCTCAGTGCACTGCCTCAGGAGACTCACATGGCAGAGCAGAAGACAGAAGTGACTGCAAGCCATTTCTGTCTTCTGGATAAATAGGTAAACTATCTTGGAGAGAAGCAGTGTGGTGTTCCTTATTCCAGTCTAAAAAAACATCGCCTTGTACTGGAGGAAGAGAGCAGAGCTTAGAGAGGTTTGTGGGTTCTGAAAGCATAACAAGCCCCTGTGGTATTTTACCTTGCTTCCTTACAAGACCCCTGGGGAGATGGCAAAGCTAGACAAGCAGCACCGCAGACAGCCTTAGAAAAGATTTCTGTAACCCAAGTTTGGAACCAATGCAGCAGAAGCCTAATGGACTTGAAGGCGTAAGAACAATAGATGCCTTCTCATAACCTGTGTGGACCAATGACCAAAGATCAAACGTCTTTTCTTTCATCTAACATGCATACACCTTAGTATTGCATAAGGCAAGGATGGGGTGGAGAAGAAACATACTCCAGAGGAACAGAGATTATGTTTTTCTTTGTGTGTGTATATTTTTTTCTTCTATCAACTCATTGAAGGTAGGTCTCTAAGTTAAAAATCAAGCTAAGTTACACAAAATTATATTTCTTGCACATTTGATTTTGTGCATTCTCTCAAAGAGTTTATAATTCTTGGCAGTTTACCAAGTCCTTATCTCATGTTTTCTTGGCCCTTATTTCATTTAACAAACTACCAAGTTGGAGATTCCACAGTTCAGATGTCATAAGATCATATCAACGTCACTAAAGAAATAGTCATTGAAATAATCAGTAAATTAATCGTGAAAACAAGATAACAACAGCAAGATCATCCATTAAACCTACTGGCTGGTTTTCATGGACTTTTACCTACTCTTACTTAGTGACATCTGTAGTAGAAGATATGTACACAAGACAGCTTGGTCATCACAAAAGTGTAAGAAAAAAAGTTTGATTATACTAAAGTCAAGCTGTCTATAAGGTTAGGTTGCTTTTGCTATCCTCAAGCCAAATGGTGGGAGTTCTGAGAGTGGTTAATTTTAAAATCACAGCTCTTCTGCCCTCCCCACACCTGAATAAGTTGTAGAAAAGGAACTAAACAACCTTGTAATAATTTTGTAAAAAGTGTCCCAACATCATTCAAAAGAAAAAAAAGTGGAAATGAAGCCTCCTTCTTCACCATGAAGCCAACCCTGAGTGCACCTCCTCTGAAAGCCACACTTGATGTTTGTGTGCTCTCTTTATGTAGGAGGTCTGATCCACTCAGGACACTGTTGGCTCCTTGAGAGGAAGGAGCTTATCTTTTGCCTTATTGTATTCCTAATTCTTTACTTTGCCTTGGCATAGTAAGTTTTACATAGCTCTGTCTTGAACAATCATGTTAGTTTTGAACACCACTAGCCCTCTTTAACCTTGGATCAAATAACATAAGAAGAGTTAAGGTCAGACACCAATGACTCTACATATTGGAGGATGAGCATAGGAAGGCTAACTCCATTCAGTCTAAGAATCCTTTGAGAGAGTTTCTGATTCTGCTAATTGTGGAGGAGCTTGAATCTGACTAATCCTCCCACAGATAACAATGATAAACTTTGGGAAAAATTAAGAAAATAAATTCTTTGACGCCCTAGAAAATGGCTAAAACAGGCAGAATCTGGAGGAGAATTTATCCTTGAAAGAAGGAAATTTTATTGGTTAAGATTCACATTTATACAGCTTTTTGCATGCAGGCACCCCCAATGTTTTCAGTGCAAGGAAGAGAGAACTCAAGCATAAATCTGCGGTTGTATTTTCTTGATGTATCACAGGGAAGAGTTTGGGATTGCCTGAGTGGCTGAAAATCAAGGGAGGAAATCCTGCAAAGGAAAGAGCCATGACTGATTAGGAGGCTGAGGGCTAGTGGTTCCAAAATCTGTGTATAAACACCTCTCCAATCTTTTGTCTGACCCATGAACTTTGCCTGGATGGGAGAAGACTCCAAGGAGCTTAGTGGAAAGGAGCAGGGGGAAGGCTGATTAAATTGAAGAGATATCTCAGCTGCTGCCCACCATAGTGAGGAGAGAATTTGAAGTTTGAGTCATGTCAATTAGAAGGGCTGAGAAAACTCTTGGGCATTCCACTGGAACCCCAGAGAGGTTGCGTCTTAGGAGTAAAGACTATGTCCCAGCACTAAGGGATTTACTTCGAACTAAGGACAAAACCAAAATAAAGCCTTCATAAATCCAATATGATCAAACAGTAATTTAACTACTCTAACAAAAGTTAACACTAGTTAGAGGAAAATAACAGAATGTAAAATCTCTACAATGTAATAGCTACAATGTCTAATATACAACCAAAAATTACTGAACCTGTGAAAAAACAGAAAAGAGTAATCTGTAGACAACAGCAAAAGCAGTCAGTAGAATGAGAACAGACTTGAAGATGACCTGTATGTTATAATTCACAGACAGAGACTTTAAAGTGTTATTATACATTTGTTCAAGGATTTAAAGAAAAAATATGAACATGCAAAGAATCTCTGCAGAGAAATGGAAATTATATAAAAGAACCAAATGAAAATTCTGTCAGTATTATATCCAAAATGAAAAATTTACTGGATGAGTTTAATAGCAGACTGGAGACGGTAAAAGAGTCAGAGAGAAAAACATTGAGAAAAATAAAGAGAGTTTTAGTGACCAATGGGAAAAATACCAAGCAGTCTAACATATGTACAATTAGTCTTTGAGGGACAGGAGAAGCACAGAAAAAATGTTTGAGAAACTAATGGCCCAAGATTTCTCAGATTTGGTTATCTAAAAAATTACCTTACAGATCTAAAAAGCTTGGTGAACCTAAGCAGCATAAACACAAAGAAAACCAACATAAGCATATCATAGTCAAAATGTTAAAAAAACAAACAGAAAGAGAAAATATTGAAAACAGGCAAAGAAAAATAGACATGTTACTACAGGGGAACAACAATATGAAAAGTAGCTAATCTCTCATCAGTAAACACTGGAAACCAGAGATGATGTAACTGGGGCAAAATATTTGCAAAATACATATCCAACAAAAGACTTGTCTCCAGAATATGTAAAGAACTCTTACAACTCAATAATAAACAGACAAATGACTTGATTTTTAAAATGAGTAAACTCTTTGAATGAATATTTCACAAGAGAAGATATACAGATGACCAATGAATAAACGCAAAGGGGGTCAACATCATTAGTCATCATGGAAATGCAAACTAAAGCCACAATAAAATACCACTACATCCCCACCAAAATTAAAAAGAATGGCAACACAAAATGTTGGCAAGGATGTGGAGTAAACAAACTCTATTCATTGTTTGTGCAAGTGTAAAATGGTACAAGCCATTTGAAAGAGGTCCAACAGTAAACCTACATCAATATTAAATCCCAGCAATTGCACTCTTAGGTATTTACACCAGACAGATGAATATGAAAGCATATATTCAAAAAAGATATGTACAAGAATATTCATAGTAGTGTTATTCATAATAGCCCAAACACAGAATCAATTCAGGGGTCTATCACCAGGAGGATGATTAAACAAGCTGTGATATCTTGTATTCATACAATGGAATGACAGTCAGTAATAAAATGAAACAAACTGTTGATACACGTAACAACACTGATGCATCTCAAAAACATTTTACTGAATAAAAGAAGCCTTAATCAAAAAAGCTTCCATTTGTATGAAATTCTAGAACAGGCAAAACTAATCTATGATTAAAACAACAACAACAAAAAAGAAGAGTAGCTGTTTCTGGAAGGGTGAGCGTAACTATGAAGGAGCAAGAGAGAACTTTCTGGGATGACAAAAATGCTCCATATCTTGATAGGAGTTGTGTAAATGTTTGTACATTGTATAAATGAAATATATTATATAAATCACAGAAATATATAAATATTTTAAAACTCATTGAACTGTACGTATAAGACTCCTGCATTTTACTCTATGTACATTTTATGTAAAAAAGAACCATAACAAATATTGAAATCTAGTTAAAGATATGCATGCTAAGGTGTTTGGGGTAAAGCATATTGGTACCTGCAAATTACTCTGAGATGCACCAAAAATAGAATGGATTGCTAGATGGCTGGAAGGATGAACAGGATGGGTAGATGAGATAAAGCAAATGTAGGTGGTGAGCATATGAGTGTTCACTATAATACTTTTAGCTTTTTGTATATTTAAAATTTTTCTTAATAAAATATTGAAAAGAGACAATGGATTATAACTTTTAAAATGCTGAAAGAAAAAAGCTGCCAACCTAAATTCTATTTCCAGTAAAAATATCCTTCAAAATGAAGGCAAAACAGGGGATGGCCCCATGGCATGGCGGTTAGGTGCTCGAGCTCCACTGCTGGTGGCCTGGCTTTGGATCTCCGGCGAGCACTGAGGCACTGCTTGACAAGCCATGCTGTGGCGGCATCTCATACAAAGTAGAGGAAGGTGGACATGGATGTTAGCCCAGGGCCAGTCTTCCTCAGCAAAAAAAAGAGGAGGATTGGCATGGACGTTAGCTCAGGGCTGATCATCCTCACCAAAAAAAAAAAAAAATGAAGGCAAAATAGAGGCTGTTTTGAAGAAAGAAGAGAATTTGTCACCAACAGATTTGCTCTGCAAGAAATGCTAAAGGAAGTTCTTCAGACTGAAGAGAAATGACACCAGATAGGAATTCAGATCTACAGGAGGATTGAAGAGCATCAGAAATTGCAAGTATAGAAGTAACTATAAAGATTATTTTTTTATTGATTACTTTAAAATTATAAATTACTTCTATATATTTTATAAAATTTTTGTATGTGTAATTCTATACATATTTTATATATTTATTAAATATATATTTGTATATAATTTTTAATATACTTTATATAATTTATATATAAATATATACATTTATATATAATTTATAAATTACAAATTTATAAATTACTTTAAAAGACAACTGACTGATTAAAGCAAAAATTATAATACTCTTGTGAGGTTTATAACGTATATAGTTGAAAAGTATAAACCAACAATAGCACAAAAAGCAGGGGTATAAATGGAATTATATTGTCATAAAATGCTTGCATTTTGTGCAAAATGACACAATATTAAGTCTAACGAGACTGTCATGTGTTAAGGATGCATATTGTAATCCCTAGAGCAAAGTCTCACAAAAAAGTACAAATGGGTTGAACTAAAAAGCCAAAACAAGAATCAAAATGAAACATTAAAATATTGGATTTAACCAAAGAAAGGAGGAAAACAGGAAGAAAAAAAGAACAAATAGAAGATAAGTAACAAAAATGATAGTTTTAAATCAAACTATACCAATAATTACATTAATTATAAATAGACTAAACACTCCAATTGAAATTCAGAGGTTGATAAACTGGATTAAAAAGTGAGACCCAAATATATATACTGTCTAAAAGAGATACACTTTAAATATAAAGACATTAATAGCTTGGAGGTAAAAAATGGGAAAACATACACAATGCAAACAGTTAGTATTAAAAAGCTGGTGCGGCTGTATTTAATTTAAGTAGACTTCAAAACAAAGAGTATTACCAGACATAAAGGGAAATGTCTTTAATTGATAAAATAGTCAGTTTCTCAAGCTGGTATAACAATGTGTTTGCACAAATAACAGAGCGTCATGAAAGTGCTAAAGGAAGAAATAAACGCACAATTATAGTTCAAGATTTAATACCTCTCTTTCAGTAATTGATAAGACAATTAGTCAAAAAATCAATACAGATATTAATATTTGAACAACGCCAACGATCACCTTGACCTATGTGATATGGGTAGAATAATATGCCCCCAAACTGCAGAATACAAGTTCTTTTCGAGTGCACGTGGAACATTCACCAAGATAAGACCATAAGTCTATCTAGACCACAAAACATGTCTCAGTAAATTTCAAAAGATTGAAATCTTATAGAATATGTTCTCTGACCTCAACAAAATTAAACTAGAAATCAAAAACAGAATATCTAGAAGAGCTCTGAATATTTGGAAACTTAAAAACACACTTCTAATTGACCCATGGAATTTAAAAAATCACAACAGAAATTAGAAAATATCTAAACTAAATTTTAATAAAAATACAACACCTCAAAATTTGTGGAAAGCAGTAGAAGCAGTGCTTCAAATAAAATTTATTGCTTTAGATGCTATCTTATAATATTATATTAGAAAGATGATTTAAAAGCAATGATATAAACTTCTAACTTAAATACAAAAAAAAGAGCAAATTAAATCTGAAGTAGAAAAAAGGAAATAATAAAGATAAGAGCAGAAAGCAACAAAATGAAAAGCAGAGAAGCAAGACAAAATAAATAAGTCAAAAGTTTAACACACTGCTTAAAAAACAAACAAAAAAGGCAAGTCACAGACTGGGAGAAAATATTCACTGTGTATATCTGACAGAAGACTTTATCCATAATATATAAAGTTCTACAAATAATGAAAAGACAAGCAATACAATAAAAAGAAAAATCATGAAAGAGTTGAACAGATATTTCATGAAAGAAGTTACACAAATGGCCAACAGCACGTGAAAAGCTGCTAAATATCTTTAGTCATTAGGGAAATGCAAATTAAAGTCACAGTGAGATACCATTTCACAACCACTAAAATGACTACAATTAAAAGTAACACCACCAATGTTAGAGAAAATACAGAGCATATAGGACACTGATACATTGTTAGTGAAAGCGAAAAATGACACAGCCACTTTGGAAAATTATTTGGCATTCTCCTATAAAGTTAAACATACATTTTCCAAATGATCAAGCAATTCTATCCCTAGACATTTACTCAAGATAAATAAAAAAATATCTATCCACCCAGACTTATACAAGAACGATCACAGTGGCTTTTTTCACAACAGTCCCAAACTTGAAAGAACCCAATGTCCATCAACAGAAAAATGGATAAACAAGTTGCAACATATTCATACAAAGGAATATTACTGAGTAGTAAAAAAAAAATTAACTACTGACCCACAACAATGTGGAGAAACTTCAAAGCTGAGCAAAAGAAGCCAGATACAAAAGAGCACACACTATGTGATTCCCTGTAAGTGTAAATCAGTTGTAAATGAAGTAAAACTGATCTATAGGGAAAAAATTAGAATGGTAGTTGTCTCTTGAGGAGTGGGATGGGGATTGGCTGGAAAAAAACACACGAGAACTTTCTGGAGTGTTGGAAGTGTGGGTTACATAAGTTTATGGATTTATCAAAAGCCATTGACCTGTATGCTGATTTGTGTATTTCACTCTATGTAAATTTAACTTTAATAAAGGAATTGTGTACAAATATTGAACTCTAATTAGCATGTTTACTTTTCTCAATAGTATGGGCCCAGGTATCTGAATTCAACTCTAAAGGCGATTCCCTTTTTTTTTTTTTAATTTTTTTCCAGTTTTATTGAAAAATAATTGACATACATCACTGTATAAGTTTAAAGTGTACAGCGTGGTGGTTTGATTTACATATATTGTGATGATTACCACAATAGGTTCAGCTAACGTCCATCTTCTCAAATAGATACAACAAAAAGGAAAAGAATTTTCTCCTTGTGATGAAAATACTTAGGATTTACTCTCTTAACAACTTTCCTGTATGTCATACAGCAATGTCGAATCAACAAAAAACAAAACAAACAAACAAACACAAATTTATAAAGTTGATTCTTACATGGTGCTGCTTGAGAACTGCCTCTGAATCCTTACTGCTGCTGTCTTATTTCAGGCCACCTGTCTTTAGTCTTGCTCTCTGTTAATCTTTCACCTACTTTGCAGCTAAAGAGACCTTGCTACTCAAGGTGTGGTCAGCAGACCAACAGCATCAACATGCCCTGGGGAATTGTTAGACTTGCAGAATTTCAAGCCCAGCCTCTGATCTCCCCTGCATTTTAACGAGATCTTCCGGGACCCTCATGCCCATTAAAGTCTGAGGAGCACTAGTACACCTCACAGAGGCACAGTGAAGGGTAAATACAATGTCAAGTGAAGGCACCGTGCTTGGCATATAATAGAGATTCAATAAGCTATCTATGTCTTGATGGGAGGGGCACACCGGTGTGACAAACAGGAAGAAAAATTGTCATGGCAAAATAACATTTTTAAAGTTGATGTTTCTTAAATCATGTTGCAATAAATATGAGTGCTCCATGAATTTGCAAGTGTGCTGGCCAACACTGCGGAAAAACAGCAGCTCAATTTTCTGTGAAATAACAGAACAACAGCATTGGTTTATATCTAGCTCTTCTCCAGAATAGAGATTGGAGGCAACCCTGATAACAGTGACGGAAAATATTGAAACATAATCTACGCCTCCTCAGAGCGGGAGCAGCTAACAGCCCATGAAGATTGAGCAACCTTGTCCTAGCTTCCCCTCTCCTCTCTCATCTTCCTCTGTGTACACAGATGGGCCTCGCAGGCACTGCGTCATCGTGGCTGCTCAGCTGTCAGTCAGCTGCTTGAGGTCAGCCAGTGTCCACACGTGGCTGCTAATATTTCATTATTTCCAACAATGAGTAAAATATAACTTATTCACTCCTTTATCTTGAGAGTGAAAAGAATATAAATTATTAATACTGAGGAACAAGGACTAGGAACATGTGAAATATAGACTTCTATTTCTCAAAAGTGTGGCAGATTTGTCTTGTAACAAAAAACGAAGAAATTAATATGCTGAAAATAGTATCCTCGCACCATATTTAGATGCACCTAAACAAACTATTGTTTAAAGTGCGGGGCCGCCCCGTGGCTTAGCGGTTAAGTGCGTGCGCTCCGCTGCTGGCGGCCCCGGTTCGGATCCCGGACACGCACCCATGCACCGTTTCTCCGGCCATGCTGAGGACGCGTCCCACATACAGCAACTAGAAGGATGTGCAGCTATGACATACAACTATCTACCGGGGTTTTGGGGGAAAAAAAATAAATAAAGTGCAAATTTTTCATTGCTATGAAACTAAATAAAATTTTAAAAAAATAAATAAATAAAGTGCAAATTTTTCATTGCTACGATGTCAAATTATCTTTCCTTGTGTTTTTGTTCTTTCTGTTGCTCCTGGTCTTATTAACATGTTAATGTGTTCTGCATTTTTAAAATTATTATTTGATACTCTGTATCTCAGACTGGTTGAGCAGCCCTGGTTTCCATGTAAAGTTATGCCTTTCATTCCATGAGATAAAGAATCGTCAGGGCTTGGAAACCCTTTTTACATTGGTAATTACTCTCAATCTGAAGCTGATGAATAAGAGGAGGGGGAAGAGAGAAGAGTTAAGCCCAAAGTTCCTAATTAAAACAGTTAATATTACCCAGATTGTCAGCCAGAATGTAAGGAATGGGGAAGCTCCATCTGGCGTCAGGGTCTCTCAGGGCGTTTCTGGATTTCTGTAGAAACAAAGGCAAAGATGACTGGGAAGGCTGATCCTCGAGGTCTCCTTGGCCTCCTCCTTCGCTAGACTCTCACACCACGAGCAACCTGTCACACAATTCAAACAATTTCATAGCATTTGTCTTCTGATTATAAGGGTGATGAAAGTTGATTATAGGCAATTTGGAAAATTTAGAGGAATTATTAACAACAAAATAAAAGAGACTTGCAGTTCCTAAAAACTGAGATAGACACTTTAAACATATTGGTGCATTTCCTTCTCTCTCATTCTTCACGTTAGGAAAATTGGGTGGACAAGCAAAGTAATAATTATAGACTCTTTTGTACTGTTTCTAATTTTTTCATCTGTTTTTGTCATGACCAACCACGGTGGGCGTTCTTGTGGGTACAGATTGTAGATTAGATTCTTCATCTCCTTCACAGTGCCCACCTCAGGGCCGGACACAGAGCGGAGGCTCACAACCCTATGACACATCCGGTCCTAAAGATCACTGTTGTGTCATTGGCAGCTACTCACCCGCAGGAGGATGTCCCCTTGAAACAGGTCCAAGCCCGCAGCTAGACATGGATTTTTAAAAAGAAATATTTGAATGAGTGTTAATAAAAGGTATCTCTCGTAATAAAATTAATCTTTTCCATTGTAAATCTTTCATTGTTAATCGTTATGTGGCGAAACTCGTTTTGAAATAACGCAAAAATTCCCTCTAATCGAGTGAATGTAAATAGCCATAGACATCATATATTGTCACATCCTCTGTCTTCACCTTTGGAACAAGAAACTTTGTCCAAGAATCTCAGAAGTCAGAGATGAGTTAGAAGGGATCTTATTAACAAGACAGGGAACAAGAAGTGTTGGAGAGGATGTGGAGAGAAGGGAACTCACATACACTGCTGGTGGGAATGCAAAGTGGGTGCAGCCACTATGGAAAACAGTACAGAGATTCCTCAAAAAAATTAAGAATAGAACTACCATGTGATCCAGCTATTCCACTGCTGGGTATTTATCCAAAGAACATGAAAACACATATGTGTAAAGATACATGCACCCCTGAGTTCATTGCAGTATTATTCACAATAGCCAAGACTTGGAAGCAACCTAGGTACCATCGAGGGATGAATGGATAAAGAAGATGTGGTATATATACACAATGGAATACTACTCAGCTGTAAGAAATGATGAAATCCAGCCATTTGTGACATCATGGATGGACACTGAGGGTATTATGCTAAGTGAAATAAGTCAGAGGGAGCAAGTCAAATACCATATGATCTCACTTATAAGTAGAAGATAAAAACAACAACAAACAATCACATAGAGACAGAGATTGGATTGGTGGTTACCAGAGGGGAAGGGGGGAGGGAGGAGGGCAAAAGGGACGATTACGCACGTGTGTGTGGTGATGGATTGTAATTAATCTTTGGGTGGTGAACATGATGGAATCTACACAGAAATCGAAATATAATGATGTATACCTGAAATTTATATGATGTTATAAACCAATGTTATGGCAATAAAAAAAAGAAAGAAAGAATCTTTCGTAGGGGTTGGTGATGCTAAATTTGCAGCCAGAAAAATTCTAGAATTCAATAAAAATTTGATCATCTTATTGTCAAAAAAAAAAAAAGAAGGGATCTTATTGATCATTGACTTCAAACCTCTCATACTTCAGGGGACGAAACGGAGTCCTGAGGCAGGAAGTGATGTACTAGGTGGTCAGTGGCAGAGCGAGCATTAGAACTCCTGACTTCCCATCCAGGACCCTTCTTGCCATTGTACCATCCTGCCTCCTGACCCTAGGTAAACGGGTTGATTTTGCTCTTTCCCATGGAAAAGCAGTGGTACCCTCCAAAGCCAAATTCAAGGGGCTGCCTTTGTAATAAAGACCAGGCAAATATAGAGAGATCCATTCAGACTTGGATCTCCAAACATCTGCTGTCAGGAGCTTAGCAGAATATACATTCTCCTTGATGTCATTCCTTAATTCTGGCCTCATACGGTTCTGAAAATAAGGTCCTTAATAGGGAAGATCCTTGTGGGAAAACTTGAGGAGCATTGAAAAATGTCACTTCTTATCACAACCCTCATGTGTGATAAGCACCCTCCCCTATAAAACACAAACAAGTCCAGACAGGATCATTGGATTGTACTTCATTCTGAGGACAGCCCCTGATTTCCAGCTGGGAAATCAAGCTAGAGAATGATCACCACAGCCTCACGTGGTAACAGGTCCCATTTGCAAAGCCTATGGTTCATTCAGGAGCTGGGTTCAGTCTCTGTAAATGACATCATGGAGGTGTCAGGTTTTAGAAGGCATCCTGGTTTCACTTGCTAATGACTAACTAAGGCTGTCCCTGCATCACCCCCTTCCTCATGCACACATTTCCTAGATTTGCTTAACTTCCATAACCCTAACCTATTCCTATGGTAACAGCACAATTAAACAACAACACAATGATACCACTGGCCCACTGGCACTAGGACCTGGGTGTTGAATTGTATTTTCAGTAGGTGTACTATGTGCTGGTCCATCCACACTCTTACCTAGGCTTGTCATGAAAAAAAAGTATGCATTTCCTGACACCTGGCCTGGATTAAGGATGGGGGTCTGGGGAGGGGTCTTCCAGAGCTATGTAGAAAAGGCCACCTGACCATGGCCCCAGTGGTTGGACAGCATGGATGGGGTCACAGAGGGTGAGAGAGTGCAGCAGGAGAGCACTTCACAAAGAAGTACAAATCCATTGAAAGCAAGCCTCACTCTATTCACTACCCAATTTTTTCATGCAGCATATCCCTATTAAATGCCTAATGTGTCCTAGGCATTGTTCTAGATGCCAGGGTCATAGCAGAGACTAAAACAAAGCCCTCAGGGAGATGACACTCTTGAATTGGGAGGGAAGGGAGACAAATAAATAAATATAGAGTATGACAGATGGTGAAAAGTAAAATTGAAAAGAAAAACATAAGGTAAGGAGAAAAAGAGTGCGGAGGTGTGGGAGGGTTGATCTTTTATAAAAGGTAGTCAGGGAAGATCTCTCTGAGGAGGTGGCATTTAAGCCGAAATCCAATGGAATGGGAATGAAGAAAGTATTGAAGGCAGAGGCAACAGCCAATAGAAATGTCCTGGGGCAGGAAAGCCTTGATGTCCTAGAGCAGTGCTTCCCAGACTTCAGCCTCAGAATCCCCTGGAGGGCTTGTTCAACACAGATTGCTCAGCCGGACCCCCAAGGTTTCTGAGTCAGTAAGTCTGGCGTGGGGCCTGAGAATTTTCATTTCTAACAAGTTCCCTGATGATGCTGGTTGGGCAACCACACATTGTGAAACACTTTTGTAGAGGAATAGCCATGAGGTCAGGGTGGCTGGAGAGCTTGAGTAAGTAAGGAGTTGAGTAATAAAAAATAGGTCTGAGAGGTGGCTGGCGTCAGATCATCTCAACTTTAATGTGCCTAGGAATCAACTGGGGTCTCTCAAAATGGAGATGCTGGTTCTGTAGGTCTGGAGTGGGGCCCAAGATGCTGCATTGTTAAGACAGCTCTTGGATGGTACACGTGATGTTGGCCTGTGGACCACACTGAGAATCAAGGCTCTATGGCCTTTAGTTTGTGTTGGATAAGAAGTCATTGGAAGATTGGATCAGAGAAGTGACATGGTCTGTATGGTATCAAAAGGAGCTCTTTGTCTACTTTGTGAAGAATAGCGTGTACAGGGTGAGGGCAGAAAGGGAGGAGCAGTTATGAGGCCACTGCAGGGACCAGGCCAGAGAGGAGGCGGTGTGGACCATGGGAGGAGAAGAGAAAGCGCTGGAAAGTCACAACTTGTATATAATTTGATGCTAGATCTAATAGCATTTGCTGACAGATTGTGTGTAAAGTGTGAGAGAAACACAAGTGTTAGGGGTAGCTCTGAGGTTCTGAGATAAAGAGCTAGAAGGAGCTGCATTTACTGAAATGAAAAAGATTGAGAGGAGCAGGTCTGGGGTCGAAAGGTTAAATCAGCATGGTAAGGCATGGAGAGAAGATAGAAAAACGTGACAACTTTCTCTGTATGATTTCCCCCATCAATTTGTGATTTAGAGTCTCACTATGTGTCTAACCCAATCAATCCTGGTAGCTTGGTTGGAATGACCTCAAAAGAGAATGGATCCACACGGTCAATTTTCTTCACTGGGGTCTCAGTTCAGGGATGGTGGCAGAGCTGAAGAGTAAGAAATGGCTCTAAGACAAAAGATTTAATTTTTACTAGATAAATAAGGATGAGACTAGGAAAATCCAGGCCTAATCCAGGGGAAATAATTTAATCTAATCTGTGCCTAACAAGATGTCCAGGAGATTCTGATGCTCAAGTTTGGGAAGCACTAATCCGACACCAAGGCTTTCCTGCCTCAGGACCTTTAAAGTACAGCAGATCCTCTGAATTACATATACCTTGACTGTCTGACTCTAAAGAGAGATAATTTGATGCCTGGTTCTGAAGTCACCCATTTACCCTGCTAAACTATTTCTACTCTGCCCATGCAGCCATTCTCAAGCTCTTCCAATTAAATATCAACTAGCCTGCCTTTCCTATAAATGCGACAAAGCCAGAGGAATTTAACTCTTAGGTATGGGGTTTTATAGTTTTGTAGTCTTCAAATAGCACTGAGCTATTGAGCTATGAATCAGGAGACCTGGAGGTGAGCCCCGTCTCTGCCATCTGTGATTTTGGGTGAGTCACGTTAATTAAAAAGAGCCTCCCGTTCCTTCCTGCAAAATGACATGGTACTTACTCCACTACAGGATTTGACAAATAAATATGCAATTGGATTTGAAAGCTTTTGTAAACTATAAGGTGTTTATGGTCATGAATACTTTTGTTTCCCACCAATCCTAACCAAAGACACCCAGAATGTAGAGGTTTTTCTCTCCTTTTAGAAGCAAGATAAGAGATGGAAAAGAGAGATGATAACTCAGCTTCTCTTTCCTCTCGATGATGAAGATTTCCTCAAGAAACGTGTTTGTGGACAAGATGTCGAAACGGAACCACCTTTAGAACGATTTTCTCTAAGTTCCGAGCGAGCAGTTGTTAGTGCCTATGATGGGCCGGTAGAGATGCTGGGGTTTTTTCCCACCTAAGTATAACCAAAGGCATATTCCTTATATTTTTCTTTAGAAAGAAGAATAATCATCCATTTTTTCCCTGTTTTTCAAAATGGAAACTGAAAAAATGAAATTTTCATAAACAAATATCTCGTTATATATTTCTAGATCGATTGAGCACTAATTAGTTCTCCTAGAAAATTTGGTCTAACCATCATTCTCTTTCCACATTTCCACTTTTCAGAAACTCTGCAAATTCTAATAAAGCACCAACAAATATTTCTCCGCTAAAGTTACCCAATACCATATTATGAAGGTAAGAGTTTTTCAGCAATTCTATCACATAATTTAAAATTATTTCAAGGCATTAATAATGTAAAAATTGAACCCACCTAAATTGATTTCTGAAATATCCTTCTGTTCATCAAAATCTGTCTCATGGACTGGTAAAAGTAGGAAAAAATTGTTATTAGTCTTGCTGAACAAAAGAGAAAAAATTCAGAAACACTCTCTATGCATTTCAATTGATTCTTACCATTTCCTTTAGAAAGATGCTTAATCTGAAAGGAAATAAATAGACAGAAAATGGATCGTGTATACTAGTATTAATATTTCTAAATACCCTGAAGAGCAGAACTCAACTTACCGATACAGCTGCTATGTGGGCAAAAAGCAAGATGAAAGAGAGAATGCAAGTAGCTCTACTCCAAACCATTGTTGCGAGTGAATAGATTTTAGCAAAGACACCTTGTGATAAATACCATTTGGACCTTGCCCTGGTTGGCATATTAGAACTTTGACCCTTCCATACATGTAGCATTAAAAAAAAGTAGTCAAAATGTCATTGATCCTTTTGAGGACAGATACTAAACTTAACATAAAAGCTCAAGTTCCAGGGATCAGGGAAAAGTTTGAAAAAGTTAATACTGAGATGAGCATATAAAAATCAATAACATTCCCATACACCAGCAATAACTGCTCATATAATATAACAGATAAAAGATCCATTTCACAGTAGAAATAAAAACAATCTATAAAATGATTATAAAGTACTTAAATCTAATAAAAACTGAATTAGAGTTTTATGGAAGTGATATAAAGCAATTATCGAAGGACATAAAAAATCTGTGTGTCTATACACATATATACATATATATTTATAGATATGCAATATTCATGGATGGAAAGACTCAGTATAATAAAGATGGTCTTTACGTAGGTATTAGTCTATAAATTCAATGTTATTCCAATAAAAATCTTAACAGGGTTTTTGTGGAAGTTGACAAACTGACAAATTCTTTCTGAAATTCACATGAAAGAGTAAACCTCCAAAAATAGATGAGAAAATTCTGAAAAGGAAGAACAAGAAGAAAAGAACTGCCCTAGCAAAATATCAAAAATTTTTATAGTTATGGTAGACAGTGTGATATTGCCAAAAAAGAACGAACAATGGGTCTATAGACTAGAATAGAAAATATCAAAACAGATGCAAGCATATATGGGGATTTCATATAGGAGAGGAGCCAAAAAATCAATAGGAAAACTTTTGTCTTTTCCATAATGATGTTGGCACAATAGCATTTCCATATGAGGAAAAAATTAAATTCTTACACCATTCACAAAAATAAACTCTGGATGGATTAAAGATGTAAATATGAAAATCTAAACTTTGAAAAAGAAAACTTAGGAAAACACCTTTAACTTTGAGGTCAGAAAAGATTGCTTTAACAAGAAAAAAAATCACAGAAATCATAATAAATTTGACTATATCAAAAAGTAAACTTCTTGGTGACAAAAGACACAACAATATAGTTAAAAGACAAGCCACAGATGGAAGAAGATATTGATACTGCATATAATTGAATAAGAGTAAGTTACCCAGGGTTTGTAAAGGAATTCCTACAAATCAATAAAAAAAAGAGACGTGATCTAAAAGAAAAATGGACAAAAAATATGAACACGAAATTCACGAGAAAGAAAACCCAAATGGCCAATAAACACATAAAAAGATACTCAACTTCACAAGTAATTAGAAAATTATCAATTCAAACAACAATGAAACGCTGCCTCAAGCTCAATTTGGCCTAAAGGAAGAGGTCTGACAATACCAAGTGTCGACAGGAGCGTAAGGGAACAGGAAATCTTACACGGTGCGGGTGGGACAGCAATTCGATGCTAGAATGCTAAAATGTGCATAATTTATAAGCTAGAAATTCCACTTCTAGGTATATACCCACAGAAATGCACACATATGTACACAAAGTACCATATAATATATTCATTGCAGTATTTTTTTGTAATAGTAAAGAACTGGAAAAATGTGTTTATACTAGAAGAAAAAATAAACTATGGAATATATGCAGTCATGCATGTTTAACAACTAGATCTCTAAAAAAACAAGCCCTTCTTTGTAGTGTTTGCTGATTTCCAGGCTATAAATACTGCACCACGGTCAATTTCAAGCTACCAACACTACATCACTGAACGCAGTGCTGGGAAGAGATGTGCACCGTGGGCTCTACCTGCCCAAGCACAGGACTGCATATGTTTGCACACCCTCCTTCTGTTGTATGCATGGGGTGAAGGCACCTTGGTAAGGGGCAATCCTCAAGATCTAGAGCCTGCATGTCTCCACCTCAGACCAACTACTAGGGCAAGTGGACTAGTCCTGATGTCAGAAGAGTATATCCTGTCAGAAAAGCATTTCCGGAGGCAGAGAGTGGGGCTTCCTGCGCTACGAAACAGGAGGCGTGACAGCAGGGGGCCAGCTTCTGCAGCTTGCTTCCATTTTACCACAGCTATTGACAGTGAGGTTGTAAGAGAAGGTATAGAGTCATCTCCCAGCCTGTCTAACCACTGGAAGCCACCAGTGTTTTCCAAAAAGAACTGAACTTGCTCAACAGCTAAAAGGGCTTAGGTTAGCAAATACAATCTATATGATTAAAACATGGGTGGGAGGGACTTGATAAACATGAACTTAATGAGAATAATTGGCTCTAAGTATAGGGGAGGAAAACACAGGAGACCTTTATTTCTTGAATGTACTGTTTGGTTTTTCTCAAATTATGAAACAATGGTGACAAAAATGAATATTTGTTAATTTTGGAGGCCAAGAAGTAGGGGTTTAGGACTCCGTTACTTTGTTTTCTTAAGAAAGGGTTTTGGTATTGCTCTCTACTAATCTCAGACGTTAGGATCAAACAGGTAGTAGTAGGGCTGTTTAATTCTTTCCACCCTCCCCTGCCTCCAGCCAGATCTGTTTTTGTCTTTCCCTTCCTTCTTAAACTTATCTGAACAATATAATATAATGATGGCTTTGGAGTCAGATAGACAGGAATTGAAATCCTTCTACCGTTGACTACCTGTCACATTTTGAGCATCTGCTTTCCATGTGTAAAATGGATAGCGGTGCCTACTTCATGGGGCTAATGTAAGGATCCAATGGGGTAACGTATGTAAACCACAGGTACCGGAAACACAGGACGCACTCAATAAACTATAGCTCCTTCTATCCAAGCACACTACCTCCTAGCAAAGGACAGGCAATAAGAACTCAGATCTCAGCACGCTCCTTGCTCAGCGAACCCTGCTGACGGGAGCATAGATCTTCAGCAGACACAACTTGCCCCTGGTGATTTTCCTTTTATGATCTTGATTGTGGGTGTTAATTAGTTACCAGTTATTTGCAATCCTAGGCACTTCATGTCCCAGGGTATCAAGTGAGTGAGGCTGGAGACTTAAATCCTAGGTTTGAAGGGTTTATGGCTTTGTAGTTACAAGGTAGATTATGCACTCTGCTGGGCAAGGTCCACGTTTTATTTTCTGTATCTCCCCCAGTGTCTGGCGCATAGTAGGCAGTTAGAGATCATGTTGGATGAAATACAGTAAAATCTAATTTTCTTTGAAGGTATTGGATGCAGTGACTTGCTTTGATGTCAGTGAGAGCATTTTATAAACTGAAGATTGGCAGCGTGAAGATTGGAAGAAAAAGCCATTGGCAGGTGGGACGAGGGAAAACTCTCCCCTAACTGTTGTAGGGCACTCTCCAGCCCAGGCCAGGACCCACTCGGGACTGAGCTAGGAGGCTGGCGAAGTCCTCTCCCCACAACCTCTTCTTGGGGCTGTTCCTTACTCTCTGCTTCCTCCACTTCTACCCTCTTTCAAGACACCCGTCCTTCTGCTTCATTCACAGAGCTCTGCTCTCAACTGTTAACCTCTAACAAAACTAACTGCCTTTGCTGTTCCTCTGGGCAATCAACATATTAACAGGGACTCAAAGGCGATTAGAGTAAGAGTTGGCAAACTTTTTCTACGAAGGGTCAAAGAGTAAATATTTTAGGCTTTGCAGACCATAGGGTCCCTGTCTCAACTTTTTAGGTCTGCTGCTGCAGCAGGAAAGCACTCATAGACAGTAACTAAAGGAAAGAGTGTGGCTGTGTTCCAATAAGGCTTTATTTACAAAAACAGGTAAAGGGTCACAGTTCGCTGACCCTGGGTTTTAGAGACTTGACCCCCCCCAGATGGTGGAGATTGAGATAGTAATAACTGTAACAGGAGTAGCAGCAGCAACCGACATGTACATGGTTCTTACTGTGGGCCGGGCACTGTTCTAAGGATCTAGAGCGTAATTACTCATTTCATCCTCACAATAATTATTTGAAGTAGGCACTACTATCATCCCCATTTTACAGATTAAGAAATGGAGACACAGAAAGATTAAGAAACCTGCCCAAGGTCACACAGCTCCTGGCAATGCTCCTAGAATACCACCCGAGACGCAGCTTTCTCTACCTAGGAGTGGCCCCGGCAGCCTAGGGGTGAGGCCTCCATCATCAAGCTACAGCATGCAGGGCCCCATGTTCCACACGGTTCCATCTCCAACAGTTTACTAAGAAGACTTAGCTTCTAGGAAAACAGTTCCCAAGCTACAGAGTCTTTCAAAATCCCCTAGGAAGCTTGTGAAAGTACAGATTCCTGGGCCTGGAATTCGGAAATTTTGATTCAGGTCGGAGAGTGAGAGCCAGGAATCTGCGTTTTTAATGAGCACCCCCGTGATACCAATGCAAGTAGTCTGTGGAATACGCTTTGATAAACAAGGCTCTAGGGAATTTATGTTAACCGGATGCTTCCACTCCCATTATGGTTACTAGATAGCTTCCCCCTAGATAGCTAGATAGATACTAGATAGATAGATACCTAGATAGATACTAGATAGCTTCTTTTTATAAGAAACTCAAAAGACCACAGCAGCCTCCAGTTTCCTAGTGGGGACATATCAGGTATTAAGACTTAGAGAGATCTTCCATGCAGAAATCCACTTCAGAACACCTCCAGGAACAGCCTCTCTGGAGATGGCTTGAGAACCTGCATTTTTAATGAGTGTGGGAGTGAATCCTATATGGAAAATGTGAGACCCACTGACCTTTGCAGAAAACTCTGCTTTGGGCTATGCGAAGACCCCATTGTGCCCATGGGCCCCACTGGAGAGCCAAGCAGAGACTTCTTATTCTCCCAGGCACTGAGGTCCCTGATAAGCTACTCTCCATGTCCAGGTGGGCATTCAGTGGGTTTGGATTCAGCTTTTCCTCCTCTATGGGACCTAAAGAACACATTGTGGCCCATCTTTCATGGTGTGGGGGAGAATCAGACAAGAGGCTTACTTCATTTTTTGCCAATTCTCTTCCTACCTATTGAACCCCCCTAGAGTACTTGATA